ATTACTCTCCCAGAAGACAGCTGTAGACACAGACCCGATTACTGCTCTTTAGAGTAAATACAGGAAAATGAATTTGAAAAAATAATGTTGAACTGCCTTTTTGATTATTTAAATATTAAGAAATGTAGAATTGCACACAAAATAAAATTGCCAATATCAAGGCTGTTGCTATCCCCAAGACAGTTTTATTTGTATCCAATGAAAACAAATTTGTTGTTGTTGTTGTTTGCAGTTTTTGGCTGGGGCTGGGTTTGAACCCATCACCTCCGGCATATGGGGCCAGAGCTCTACTCTTTTGAGCCACAGGCGCCGCCCCAAACAAAAGTTTTTTAAGAAATAAAGCTTCAGATGTTATGTTGAAATGTCCCTCTTTCCCTGTGCTTCCAGACATAGCCACATCATAAATATGGTGTGTTTCCAGTTAATAGCTATGTATGTTTAATGTACCTGCAGAATTATAGCATTTAAGTACGTGGACTCTGAAGCCCAAAGAAGAGTCACCTCAGCAAAGCTCCTCAACCATCTGTGTCTCAGTTTTCTTATCTGTAAATGAAGATGCATTGGACGGAGTCCTCCGAAAAACATATACCAAGATGACATTAGACACACGAAAGATTCATTGGGGGAACACTTGCGAAGGAAAAAGAGGGTAGGTTTTGTGGTCTAATGCTGCATAATAAATTGTCCCAGAATTTAGTGGCTTAACACAATCTACATTTATTATCTCAGAGCTTTTGTATGTCAGGCGACAGCGGGCGGCTTGGCCAAGCGCCTCTGCTCCAAGAGCCCCCGCAAGGCCGCGCTGGAGGCAGCAGGCAGGACTATGTCTCCACGTGCCGCGTGCCACCTGCATCACGCTATGGCAGTCAGGGTTGAGCACCCCACAGGCTATTGCCCCAGTCGCTCCCCAACCTTTCTGGCACCAGGGCCTGGTTTCCTGGGAGACAGCTTTTCCGCAGACCAAGGGGTGGGGACGAGAGGCGGTTTCAGGGAGATTCAAGCGCGTTGCCGTCTTCGTGCACTTTGTTTCCGTTACTATCACACTGTAATGTATAATGGGATAATTACACAACTCACCGCCAGGCGGACTCGGGGAGCCCTGAGCTGTCTTCCTGCAACGAGACGGTCCCCTCCTGTACCTGCAGCCGCTTCCCAGCGCCAGCATCTCTGCCTCAGCTCCACCTCGAGGCATCAGGCGTCAGATCCCTCACGTGCGCAGTTCACAGTGGGGTTCAGCTCCCGGGACGGGAGACGGGACTGCGACGGCGCTGCTGGGGGGAGGGGGGAGCGGCTGTGAGGCTCCCTCGCCTGCTGCGCACCTGGCTCCCCACAGCCCCCCGGACCAGCAGCCCACCTGGCCCCCGCGAGGTCTGGTCCGCGGGGAGGCTGGGCGCGACGGGACTGTGGACTGAGCCTTGGCCCCTTCCTGGCTATTGCGCAAGGTTTTCTCTCACTTCCTTTCCAGATGGGCCTCTTTGCGGAGCAGCTCACCTCCCGAGGCTGGCTAATGAGAGAGGGCAGCAGAGAGTTCACCGTGGAAGCAGCGCTCTTGCAATTGACTGTCAGAAGCGACCGCCACCTCTTTGCTGTGTGCTTCATAGGAAGCGAGTCTGTGGGACCAGCCAGCAGCCATTCACAGGCACGATTTACAGCCTCAAACTTCTGAGCTCACGCGGTCCTCTGGCCTCAGTCTCCTGAGTAGCTGGGACTTCGGGAATATGCCCTCATATCTGGCTCACTTTATTTGTTCAAGTTTATGTTAATAGTATATTACTGGATTTAATGTCTACAACTTGCTTTTATGAGTCAGCATTACAGTTTAGGGGCCTCAGGTTGCATGCTACATATTATTCTTTTGCAAACATTTGCTTCCAGCCTATGTCTTTCCTTTTTGTCCTCTTGACATTTTCTTTCACAGAGCGGAAGTTTTTAATTTTAAGAAAGTCCAGCTTTTCAGTTGTTCCTTTTATGGACTGTGCTTTCAGGTTTTTTTTTTTTTCTTTTTGAAACAGAGCCTCAAGCTGTCCCCCTGGGTAGAGTGCTGTGGCATCACAGCTCACAACAACCTCCAACTCCTGGGCTCAAGCGATTCTCCTGCCTCTGCCTCCCAAGTAGCTGGGACTACAGGTGCCCACCACAACGCCCTGCTATTTTTTGGTTGCAGCCATCATTGTTGTTTGGTGGGCCAGGGCTGGATTCGAACTTGCCACCTCAGGTGTATGTGGCTGGCGCCTTAGCCATTTGAGCCACAGGCACCAAGCCCAGTATTGTTTCTAAAAATTCATTCCTGGCTGGGCGCCTGTGGCTCAAGTGGCTGAGGCACCAGCCACTTACACCTGAGCTGGCAGGTTGGAATTCAGCCCAGGCCCGCCAAACAACGAGGGCTGCAACTAAAAAAAAATAGCCGGGCGTTGTGGTGGGTGCCTGTAGTCCCAGCTACTTGGGAGGCAGAGGCAGAAGAATCGTTTGAGCCCAGGAGTTGGAGGTTGCTGTGAGCTGTGATGTCACAGCACTCTACCCAGGGAGATAGCTTGCGGCTCTGTCTCAAAAAATAAATAAATAAATAAAAATCCATTGCTATACCAGGATCGTCTAGGTTTTCTCCTGATTATCTTCTCAGACATTTATCTATTTGTTTTTTAGAGACAAGATCTCTCTCTGTCACCCAGGCTAAGTGCCATGACATGATAATAGCTCACAGCAATCTCAGACTCCTATGCTCAAGAGATCTTCCTGCCTCAGCCTTCCTAGTAGCTGGAACTGTAGACATGTGCCACCATGGCTGGCTAATTTTTATTTTTTAAAATTTGTTTTTAGGGACATGGTCTCACTAAGTTGCCTCGATTTTTGTGACACCTGTAGAGTCTATGACTAGACTTGTTTTTTTGCATGTAGATGTCCAGTTGTCTAAGCACCGTTTGTTAAAGATACTGTCTCTGTGCTGTTACATTGTTTCTGCTCCTTTGTCAAAGGTCAGGTGACTATATTTATGGTCTGTTTCTGTCTGTTCTCTTCCTTTTACATATTAATCTAATTTACTTATTAAACTGCTAAAGAAATACTGCATCATATGAGAAGACCACTCTGGGATTCTTTGTCACCAATAGGGTGGCTAACAATTTAATTCAGTTCTGACACTATCCACCTGGAGTTTGCATCAATTCTCACACATTAAAGATGTCAGCACCACTAGGTTCCCCCACTTCAGATGCCAGTAGCAAGTTCCAGGCCACCTGTCCTCCTAACTGACCAGCTATAATTTGGGGGTGCTCACAGCCCCCTCCTCAGGTTTGATAATTTGCTAAAATAGCTCACAGATCTCAGGAAAACACTTTACTGATGTTTATTGGATATAACTCAGGAACAGCCAAATGGAGATGCCTAGGGCAAGGTCTGCAGGGAAGAGTATGAAGCTGCCCTGCCCTTTGTTGATTTTGTCATTTTTTTTCTAAGTAGGTATTCCTGTTATGTATAATAATGACAGTTTTGTCTCTTCCTTTCCAATTGTAACATATCTCATTCCTATTATTTTCTATTAGCTTTGCCAAAGCTTCCAGGACTATGTTAAACAGCAGTGAGAGTAGGCATTCTTTCCTAATGCTTGAACCTAATGTAATGCCTCCTTTGATATTGCTGTAAGCTGGGATATAACCTTTAAGGAAGTTTTCATCTGTTTCTGGTTTTCTAATTGTCTAAACCAGTGGTTCTCAACCTTCCTAAAGCCGAGGTGTATTGTCATTGTTACAAAGGGGTTGCAACCCACAGGTTGAGAACCACTGGTCTAAACCATAAGCAGCTATTGAACATTACTAAAAGCTTTATCAGCACTGATTTAGGTAAATGTGTACTTTTTCCTCTTCAGTCTATAAATGTGGTAAATTACACTAAATGTTTTCCTGATGTTGAACCATCCCTGCATTCCTCTGTAACTTCAGCCTGATCATGATATAGTAAGATTTTTTGGAGACAGAGTCTCATTCTGTCTCCCTTGGTAGTGTGCCTGGTACCATTGGTGGAGAGCTCACAGCAAACTCGAACTCTTGGGCTCAAGTGATTTTCTTGCCTCCCAGTAGCTGGGACTACAGGTACCTGGGACTACAGGTACCTGCCACAACACCCAGCTATTTTTAGAGACAGGGTCTCACTGTGGCTCAGGCTGGTCTCAAACTCATGAGCTTAAGTAATCCACCAATCTCAGCCTCTCAGAGTGCTGGGATCACAGGCATGAGCCACTGCACCCAGGCTTTGCAATTTTAAAATACAATATTAGATTTAGATAGCTAATATTTTATTTAGGTTCATAAGTTAAATGGTCCTATAATTTTTTAAATTCTTGAGTCATCCTTATCTGGTTTGGGAAGCAAAACTAATTCAGCCTCACAAGATGAACCACAAATCTTTCTCTTTGTGCCTGTTTGCTTTCAGCTCCATTTATGTTCTTTTGTGTGCCCTGACAACGTCAATTCATAGTAGGGACTTAATAAGTATTTGTTGTGGTTGAACCAAAAATGGGTCAAGCTGGAGATGGTCTAGGCCAGGGGTCCTTAAACCTTTTAAACGGGACCAGTTCACTGTCCCTCAGACCATTGGAGGGCTGGACTGAGGGCCTTGGGACGAGTCAGCTGCTAAGCAGGACAGGCAGCGGTGGCAAAAACACCCAGTGGGCCGGAGTTTGAGGATGCTTGGTCTAGGCAGTCAGCTAGCATTTCTCAGACATCACTCTTCTCCCCTGGCTATCACCTGTTGTCTGGCCCCCAGATCACTAGCAAGGAAGGAAATTCAGTTTCTATGTCGTGCCTTTCTATTTTCTTAACTGTACCCTTTTTTTGTTGTTGTTTTCTTTATTTTTTTGAGAGTCCAGAAATTAACTATGTCTTTTTTTTTTTTTTTTTGGCAGGTTTTGGCCAGGGCTGGGTTTGAACCCACCACCTTCGGCATATGGGGCTGGCGCCCTACTCCTTTGAGCCACAGGCACCGCCCTTTTAAAAGTCAAAAGTTTTGTGCTCACTTCAGGAAGACATATACTAAAATTAAAATGATGCAGAGTACATTAGCATGGCCTTTGCCTGTGGAAGACAAGCAAATTTGTGAAGCATTCCATATTTTTAAAAAGTATTTGTGATGAAGTTCAATGTATCAATATATTTCTGTTATGGTTTGTACTTTGTACTCTAAGAAGTCTTTGCCTAACTCAGACCAAAAATATTTTTTTTATGCTTATTCCAGAAATTTTAACTTTTACATCAATTCAACTTAATATTTTTTTATGGTATGTGTGTGGTTTATTTTTTTCCCATGTGGAAGTCCAATTATTCCAATACTACTCATTGAAAAGATTATTCTTCCTCAATTAAACAGCCTGGACATCTTTGTTGATAATCAATTGACTGTATATGTATACAGCTACTTCTAGATTTTTTATTCTGCTCCATTATTCTACTCCTACATATCTATCCTCATTCCAATATCACACTTTCTTGATTACTGTAGCATTATAGTAAGTCTTAAAATCAGGGAGGATAAACTCTTTAACTATGTTCTTCAAACAGTTAAGTTTTATAAGTAAAAACTGATTATTAGGTAATTTGTGAAACAAGTGCCCTTCCCTATGTATGACCCTCAAACTGACTTTGTTCTTTTCCCTGTCATGGAGCTTCACTGAGGTCACTGAGGGTAAGAAAGTGTGAGGGAAGAGACCCAGAGTGTAGCCAATCTCCTCTACTTGGGATGTCCACATAGCCCTTCTGGCTAATGAGATAAGACATTTCAGATGTCACAGCTGCCACACAGATATTTCCCTATGAGAAAATATTGGCAGGAAAGTAATAATAGGTCAGTACAAATTCATCACTGCTATAAAACAGAATCTTAATATTTATGTCTACTAATAATAAATAGTGACATCTTCATCCTTGAAGACATGTTTTACAACATTTGCTCCCTCTGTGTTATTATAAGAAACACTCCACTACCATTTATTTGATTAATTGCCGGGAATTCATCCCTCTTTTTTGTTTAAATAAATAACTTATACATAAATAATTATGTTTAGCCCTACATAATTACCAATCTACTGCTACGGTTAGTAGTGGTAGTGAAAGTAGTGGTAATAGAGCTCTATGCTGTTTATAAAAAGCAAACATTTTTCATGTGGTAATTGTTTCTCAAAGCAGACCTGCAAGGCAGCTACTCAGCATAACAACTACTAGATAATACATCTCCTTAGAATGATATTTAAAAAATTAAATCCATGTTTCTCAAAGGCACATGGCTGCACCACAGTGTTTGCAGGTGAGGGCAGGCACGGAGGTAGAATGTTTCTTTTTTTTTTTTTTTTTTTTAAATATGGAACGCTTCACGAATTTGCGTGTCATCCTTGCGCAGGGGCCATGCTAATCTTCTCTGTATCGTTCCAATTTTAGTATATGTGCTGCCGAAGCGAGCACGGTAGAATGTTTCTTGTGTGAGAATTGAAATCAGTGCTATTGCGCCCACAGTGCTATAATTTCCAAATTAGTCAGTGTTCATTAACATACCCTACTGAATTGAAAATTAAGTATTAAATACAGACTTGATTACATTTTCCTAAAAGATCCCTAAACCAGGCTCTGATTGCCTAAAGCAATGTGATCTTTTAAATGATGACAGCAAAAGGGTAGCTTGGGTTTTGACTGGTGGCTCGTTCATGTTCATGTGGTCTTCTAGGGACTGCAGTATGGACTGGGTTTCTGGGGTCCTACAGCAGGAATTGTAGGCTTCCCTAGAAGTGTGTGGAGGCTGGGAACACTTTTATGGATCAGAACAGGCTTCTCTGGCAACACGCTGCTGTTCTGCACTGCACCCTCCCTCCTGCCCCGTGTAGGTCCTTCCCATCCATCCACCTCAACCCACTGCCCACAGTGTTATCGTTGCCTTTGTAGGGAGGGCAGGAAGACACAGAAAGTCAACTGGATTTGTGCAAATGTGTTTTAGGTTTATATCTTCTAAAATGTAAGGCCTTTTGTTGGCAAGGTGTTATAGACCAGGAATAGTAGTCTATTGTGCTCTCGCACTGGTCCACAGGTATTGGATGAGAAATGCATACATTTCTCAGCCTGCAGATATTAAGAAATTAACAATGTTCTTTTCTCTTCTTGGAGAAAAACTTTATAGTTTTTAACAGAGAATTTCAAAGTTCCTAAGCTAGTCTTTAGGAAGAGGAGAAAAAGGAGTAAATAACAACCTCCCACCTGTGACGGCTGACTTTGGGTGTTACCTTGATAGAATGAAGGGACACTGGCAGAGAATTATTCATCCTTGGCATTTCAGTGGGCACTGAGCTAGTTCCTCTTCTACTGAGAGGGAAATCAAAGCAATTTTGCGTTTAGTAAGAATGAGTAGGCAGCCCCAGGTGTGTCTGTGAGGGTGTTTCTAGAGATTAGCAAGAGTCAGTGGACTGAGTGAGTGAGACCCATCCTCCATGAGGGTGGGTACCTTTCCAATCAGCTGGGGTCCAGACAGAGCAAAAAATCAGAGGAATCGGCTGGATGTAGAGGAAGTTGGCTGTAGTCCCAGCTACCCAGGAGGCTGAGGCAGAAGGTTCATTTGAGCCTGGGAGTTTAAGCCCAGCTGGGGCAAGACAATGAGACCCTCCATTTCCTAAAAAAAAAAAAAAAAAAAAAGGCAGAAAGGATGAATTTTTGCTCTTTCTCTTCCAAAGTCAGGATGACCTTCTTCTCCTGACCCTGAACATCAGAAAGTTGGGTTCTCCAGATAGGCTTTTAGGTTGTTTACAATTTGGGGCTATTATGAATAATGTTATGAATATTTGTGGGCACGTTTTTATGTAGATATGTTTTCCATTCTCTGGGTTATGTATTTGTGACTTCAAAATCTTAATGCAATTAAACTATTGTTTAAGTGAATTGATGTAGACTGTTACACTCCCTAGGGATGAATTCACATATGAGAGTAGCTCCATCTTATCACATATACAACATTTAAAATTACTTCACTATGAATTTGCTATTTGAACTTGGACCAAAAAATGGTGGAACTGAAGATTTAAATGACATGATACATTATTTACAGTCAAATTATATATACAGAAATAATCATGAATATCTAGAAAGGAATTTAGTAAGGACGTTAAAATACTGATATCCTATGACCATGTGGGATTTGTTCCAGAATGGAACAAAATTATTCCATTTACTAGCTTAAGCTTTTTTTTTTTTTTTTGGGGAGTCTCACTCTGTTGCCCTGGATAGAATGACATGGTGTCACCGCTCAGAGTAACCTCAGTCTCTTGGGCTCAAGCAGTCCTCTTGCCTCAGCCTCCCCAATAGTTAGGATCACAGACGCCCACCACAACACCTGGCTAATTTCTCTATTTTTTTGTTTTTGAGACAAAGTCTCACTATGTTGCCCTTGGTAGAATGCCATGGTGTCACAACTCACAGCAACCTCAAACTCTTGGGCTTAAATGATTCTCTTGCCTCAGCCTCCCAAGTAGCTGAGACTACAGGCACCCACCACAACAGTTGGCTATTTTTTGTTGCAGTTGTCATTGTCATTTAGCTGGCCTGGGCTGGGATCAAACCCACCAGCTTTGGTGTCTGTGGCTGGCACTGTAACCTTTGTGCTATGGTCATAGAACCAGTTTTGTTTTGTTTTGTTTTCTTCAGGGTAACAAAGAGAGATTTCATTTAGAAGGAACAAAGAGAAGTGTAGATCACTACCAAAGAGAGTTAGAAGTGGGTCCCTCTCCCAAAGGAGAATAGGTAAGAGAGGTAAAATGTTAAAAGCATTAGAAGGAAAAATGGATGAATATTTTTCCACTTGGGGGATGGGAGGCTTGTAAAACTATATCACAAAAAAGTCAAGAGGGAAAAAGACTAAGATTGATAACTTTGACTTTTTAAACTTCTGTATTGCAAACAAACAAAAAACAAGCTCACAGCTCATGCTATAAAGAAGGGAGAAAAACAGATGATAAACTGGGAAACATTTTGCAACATAACACATAACAAAGGGCAAAAATAAAAAATATATTTTACATATATGGGGAAAAGTAAGATAACAAGAGAATATTAACAGGAAATTTATGAAAAGAAGATATCCAAACGACCAGTAAGTATCTGAAATGTTCAACCTTATTAGGAATCAAAAACCAGCCAAATAATTTCAAAAAGATCATTGAAATATCTTTTTTTTGTCCAATTGACAACTTTTAAAAAGTTAATAACATTCAGAGTGGAGACAGTTTTAGGAAATGGGTACTTTCATGTCCTACTGGTGGAATTATAACTTGGTACAATATTTCTAGAGGATGGTTTTGTTATGCCCACAAGCTCCCCCAAAGACCACACCACCAGACATGTCAAATTAAAGAAGAATCCTTTATTGAAGAGCTGGCCAATGACAGCCTCAGTGTCCCAACATGGGGTTTCTGAGAGCGGCCCCAATTTGTCTAAGGCTCTGACTTTTATGCGGCAAAATATTTTCAGGGGCAAATAAACATAGTCATAGAAGGGAAAAATAGCAGTTAGGGGAAATCACGAGAGCAATTAGTAATTTTTCTTTGCAAAACAGGTACAATCGGATAGGGAGGGGGACTCGCAGAGGAGGATCATAAACAACATGATCATAAAAAGCTGTAATCCATAAGGATTATGTGGTCAGTAAAGGCATTTACAGTTACACTGGGAAGAAAAACAAAGAACTAGTTTTTAGAGGTAATGGGATGTGACAGAAAGGGAGTGAACAGTAAAATGCAGTCAAACTTGCTCTTTTAACATTTTCATATCATATACAAATAGCACGAAGACCACCTTACAGTTTGGTAACGTACATAAAAATGTTCAAAAACTCCTATATAGGAATTAATTCCAAAGAAATAACTGAATAATTGAGAACAGATGGAACCATGAAGATGCTCACTGTGGTATTGTTTGTGACAGTAGAAATTCAGAAGCCTAGATATTTGGTAAGTTACAGACATGCATTCAGTAGATTGTAGTAGACATGCAGTCTACTGTAAAATAGTAAAATAGCTCTGTGTTGACAGTTGTGGGAAGATGTCTGGGACAAATGATTGACAGAAATATGTTTCAGAACAGAAAGTAC